CTATTAAATTTATTATTCGGAGAGTGGGGTGGTTAAAATGAAAGTATTTTGTCCTGGGATCTGATTTAATATTTTTATCTTTTAGTTGATGCACAAAATTTACCATGGAGTTATTATCCCCTACAAATGTTTATTATGGTCTCTATACTGTTAATAATATAAAGGTGATTTACGTTCCCCCTTGTAGTACTATAAGGTGCACAGAAAAAGGTGAGTTTTAATTATTATCTTAAATCTTATCAACTATATATATATATATTGTACTTTACTCTAGTGTACAGATGGTAATGAGAACTGCTACGTTCAGGTACATTAAAATAAGAAAGATAGTCCTTACTTGAGGGCTGAGGGAGTTGAAGTCTTACTATCGACTGATAACTCAGGACTCGGTAATGGTTGGTGATGTCTCCAGAAGGTGCCAATGAATCGGTGGTAGATACCCAACCTTCAATATCTATCGGTCATATCTCTCGATTCAACTAATCTTGTTCAAATAAATATTCAATGAATAAATGAACGCATAAAAAGGTAAAAGTACTTAAATCAGTACTTAAATAAGTACTTAAAGGCCTAAAAGGAAACAACATTATTAATACTTGATTTTTAGGAAAGCATGGACAGGTTGAACTTACCACAGATGTGAGGGGCCTTTCTTTTACAAGCAATAAAATCCACAATATGTGATTCAACTTAAATGAAACATTACTTGTAAGAATTAAGATGAGGGTTGAAAATACTGGCTAAATAAATCCGAAAATTCGAAAACTTAAACCCAGGTGGTTCAGCAAGAAGCCATTTTATTCAAAAGGTCAGATATGAGAGTATAAAAAAAAGATTTATAAAAAGTGGTCAGTGGTCAGTTCATGTCCAGATAAGATATTTAAATTATCCTGATTGTTGTACCTTAATGTAATTATTTTAATTAATTAGAAGTATTTGAAAAAGAAGAAAATTGACAACAAAATGACTTTGACATGATAGAAATAAACAAGTCCTATATAAATCATAATAAAGATTTTAAAGAAAATCTACCCTAAACTACCTAACTGAATAACTAAATTTCTCTAAATTATTTAAATAGGGTAAACATTTATAATTTAGTATTTTGTTGGAATAACATTCTACTCATCGTGAGGTCCTAATGTCGATTTATATTTTGTATTGTTTTTAGAAGTAAAACTACACTTAGTAAAGTATATGCAGACGATGAAGGCGAGAAAAAAAGGTGTGATTAAATCTATTGGTAAGTTTTATGTTCCTAAATATCTTATTGATATTGTTATTTATATTTATTATTTTTAGGGTTTCGAAACACAGATGACTGAAAACTATTATTAATATTGTGATTTATCTTATTACGAATAAATTCATTTTTTCGAAGACATCTTTATCTTTTTAGGGTAAAATATTCCCAAGGTAAAATGTGCACGTAACAGATGGACAATCACAAACACTAGGACTTATAGCTAAGAAATTAGTTTTATCTAAATTAATTGTTAAAAGCTTATGGTCCATCCAGTTTTTTACATTTAAGAAGTCAGTTTCTGCTTTAATTTTCAGTTCGTACCAATCTTTTGCCTCATAAAAAATAACTGTATCATCAGCGAAACCGATTATCTGTCCCGTACTAGTTAGGGAAAATAAAGAATTTATATATATATTGAAAAGTGTGGGCCCTAGTACGGTACCTTGTGGAACACCATACTCAATTGAATGAGGGCTACTTGATACTCCATTTATTCTTACTCTCTGCTGTCTATTTGATAGATAGCTTTCAAACAATTTTAGAGGTGTACTTCTTATCCCTATGTCTTCGAGAGAATTGAGTAACAATGGGTGGCTAACAGTATCGAATGCTTTCGACAAATCTAAAAATATGCATAGGCTTGGGTTTGAGTCATTTAGTGAGGAATACATTTTGGATAAGAGGGTTAGAATAGCATCTTGAGTAGACTTTTTCTCGCGGAAACCGAACTGCCTGTTTGAAATAATATCGTATTTCGTTAAGTAAGATGTTAAACGAGAGTGTACAATTTTTTCAAACAATTTGGAAAAGTGAGTAATGAGGGATATTGGTCTATAGTTTTCGACGCACAATTTATCTCCTTTCTTGTAAAGAGGTGTAACAATAGATTCTTTAAAATCTGTAGGCCATACTCCACACTCCAAGCATTTATTAAATAAATATGCCAGTGGTGTAACAATATGCTCAGATATTTGTTTAAGCGTTTCTGCACGGATGTTATCGATCCCTGGTGACTTTTTGTTTTTCAACTCTTTAATTGTTTTTGTTAATTCCACAACATCAGTAGATCTTAAGAAGAATGAGTTTTGAAGAGTTTTTGTTTTTATTGAATAGTTAGGATTTTTTTTAATTTTATTTGCTAATTTTTTACCTGTACCAGAAAAGACGCGATTAAATTCGTTAGTAATATCTAAGGGTTCGGTTATATATTTTTCATTTTCTATCTTTATTGATTCTATTTTTGTATTATTAATTTTTGTTTTACTTACCTCATTTACTATTTTCCACAATTGATTGGAATTATTAGAGTTATTGTCTATTTTGTTCTTATAGTAAGCAAATTTAGCCTTTTGTATTAGAGATGTTAATTTATTTTTGTAATTGTTATATTCGTGCTTTAAATTGATATTATTGGGATCCTTTAGCAGAGACTTATACATCGAATTTTTTTTGTTTACAGAATTCAGCAAGCCATTAGTAATCCATGGAGTAAGTTTCATTTGTGTTCTGGAAATTTTTTTAGTAACTGTGCATTCGGCTATTGTTTGTGATAATGTAGTTATAAACTCGGATACTGCTTCTGTTATACTGTTTTTTGTATAAATATTTAACCAAGAGTTATTGCTTAAAATAGAATTTAGTTTTTTATAGTTTATATATTTTTTATGTTTTTCAGGGCTCTGTTTAGATCTATTATTATTTGTTGGGAAGACTATTTGTAAAACTGTAGTGTAGTGATCGGTGATTGTTGATTTAATAACTATGGGTAATATATTATTTAATACATCAAAATTAGTTTTAGTAAAAATATGGTCGATGCATGATTTCATGTTTCCCTGAACTCGCGTTGGGACATTAATAGTTGATACATACCCAAATTGGTTCAATATACTTAAGTATTCGAACACATGATTTTCTGTTTTATTTTTTGTATCTAAAGTGTCTATGTTTATATCTCCTATAAAAATATTGTAATCAATCACCAATTTATCATGATCTTCGAGAAGTTCTTGAAGTGATATGTTAAAATTATCTATATTAGTGGCTGGTGATCTATACAGAGCTAAAATATTTATATTTCGACCGCTGCAGTTTATTGTAATATTTAATAAATTAGAGTTATAGAATTTCTCTATTTTCGATGTAAAAGATAAATGTGATTTTATATAAACTATAACCCCATCATTCTGGTTGTATCGGCCCTCATTGTAAACTAAATCGTAACCATGGAGTGTAAACAATGATGTATCGAGTACTTCTCTTGTCTCGGTGAGTACAATACAATCTACCTGGTCATCTAGACTAGTCAGAAATATTTTGAATTCATCCAAGTTTTTTTGTATACTTCTAATATTCATATGAATTATTTTAAAGTTTTCATTATTATTTACCTTCAATATTTCTTTACATTCTTGTGACGTATTGAGTATATACGTTTCAACCTTTCTCGCCTCAAACTCTCGAATATATTTATCCATTCTAAAAATATTTAAAATTTTAATTGTACAACCTAAATAAATTAACAGGTAAAATTTAAAACTACAGTTACTAGATAATTCTAATCTAGACTATCACTAGACTATCTAAATAAAATTCTCAGTTTACTAAAATATTAAAATCGTATTATAATCCAGCAAACTATGTATATGAAAATAAATTCTAGCAGAAATTATTTAATCGGCATATTACTATTACTACTTGTTACTACTACTTGAATTAGATCTTAATCCTCGTCCAGATCCAGTGTTTATATTTTTGTTTAGAAACAGCTTGCCGACTAGTGGTGATTGATTTTGATTTTTACTTCGTGTTTCTTTTACATCTGTCGGTTTATTTTTATTTTTATTTTGGACTTTTGTTTCGTTTCTTCTTGATTCTACGATTTGTTCCTTTTTCTTTGGTTGCTCAGCTTGATCAACTTGGCTACATTCACTCTCAGATTCGACGTCTCCTGTTTCAAGATATGCAACTGCTTTTTGTTTTTCAATTGTTGGTGTAGTCGGAGCACTACTCACTTGCTTTTCTTCCAAAGTTCTTTCTTGTTCTTCAAGTTCATCAACGGTGAAAGGTCTGTCAGCAATAAATAGCTTGTTTCCCTTAATATACGACTTCACATTCGGGTTTTGTCTGGCTTTATTTAAAAATGACCTAAGTTTTTTATTTTCCGTTCTTTGATCGTAGGTAAGATCACTAGAAATCGATACTCTAGTTCCTTTTAATTTTTTGCAGTTTTTAAGCACCTCTAATTTTTTTGTAAATGTTGTAAATTCAACTTTAATTGCGGAACCAGATTTTAGTGGATATACGTTATTAATATCAGTGACATTAATTTCCACACCTAGTAAGTTTTTTATTTCTTGTGAAATATACGTTGGGGAAAAATTTTGCGAATCCAATCCAAATATTAGAATATTGTTTCTCTTAATTTTTCTTTCCAATACTTCAACTCTATTTGTTAATATCGTATTTTCAACTTCTAAGTTATTAATCTTGTCCTTCAAGCCTTCTATTTTTAATGCTAATCTAACTTCTGATGCTTCAATAAAAGATTTTATTTCATTTTTGCTTTTTTCAATCTCCTCTCGTAGTAATTGTAATTCATCCATAATTTATTTAAATTTAAATTTGCCAATGATAATTCGTCGTGTATGGTCTGCCTTAATTCCAATGTTTTGCGTTTTTATGCAAACAAGTTTGATATTGAGAATGGCACCAGAGGTGCGAGAAACATTTTTTTCGATACTTTAATGAAGGTATGACAAATGCAACAGCAAGGAATGACCACGAAATGTTGTTGGAAAATTGCCACGAAACAGACAATACTAAATTGTCGTTAGTATTAGCTAATGCACAGCAAAATCCTACAGAACATCAAGTTAAACACCTATATGAAATTTGGAGGTAAGCTATCTTCTTCTTCTTCTTTTTAATTTTATTATTTCATTATTACGGAGTTTTTGTGTCGGTCTTTAATGAGTATATAATCTATTTGATTCCGGACTATATTATATAGGTAAGCTATGCCGGAATGTTAGGTTATATGTGAGGAACATATCTTTAAAAAAGTTGTATACTCATCAAGTTGAGTGTATAATAGAGTTTGAGGCATTGAAGATGACCACGTATACTTAAAGTTACTTGCCGTCTTCTCAAAGTAGGCAAATATTATTTATTGTGTTTTTGTTCCAGAAACTCTAATTTTGGAAGTCGAGATGAAGATTCAATGATAAAGGTCTTGAAAGAAAAGATTGATTTTTACAAGAAAGAAAAACAGATTAATATAGTCATAAAGGAAAACCCTCTTATTGTGATTATACTTTCTCGAATAATGATGCGTGCTCATAACGAAGATTTTGCTAGAGAAATAGTTTTTGTGGACTCTAATGGTTCCTGTGACCAAACAAATTCATGTGTCACGTTTATGTTTTGCACTGCTAAAATTGCCCAGATAGCACGATATATTTGTTAAATATTTTTTTCATATTAAATAAATATTATATCTTTTTTAAATATTTATTGCCTGAAATACATATTTATTAAATATTTGCTTTTTAATATTTAAATTAATTTATTTATTGAATATTTATTATATATTTAAAAAGTAATATTTGGTATAAAATATAAAATAAATATTATTTTTTTGATTTAGAAAGAATATCTGGAAACTTATATTATGCAAATATTTGATATATATTTTTTCATAAGAAAATATGAAAATAAATGTAAATAAAAGTGCTCTATAAAAGTTACACCGGAATCGGTTTACTGGTACAACAAAACGGCGAAACCAGCCAATACCGGTGTCAGAGTGGTCGCAACAAAACGCATCTGCAGTAGAACTATGGTCACGCTTCCAAGCGATCGCTTGAAAGCGACAATTATTGCGATAGGTGGCGCTAGTTTAGTTAGATGCGTTCGCACATACAGGAGCAGGAGCGGAACAAAATTATCGTTTTGTAGTGATGTCGACTTAGAATATCGCTTTTGGAACTGTCTTAACATAATTATTCGATAGTTTTGAAACGATTTATCGCTACATTTCGGTTTCCAGAAGGCAACACCGTGCACTGAAATTGACACTTCAATGTTTCTGAACGTAGCATCGCAAAGAATAACCTAACCTAACCTAAGATTTTTGTTGTGTAATCAGCGTTGCCAATGGTTTATCAGGAAATTACTGGCAAAATGGGATCAAAAGGCTGGCAATTACTGGCAAAATATTTTCGATTACTGGCAATATAGCATGTTAATTTTTTCTAGTACCTAGGAACAGCCCAGGCCAAAAAGATTAAAGTCCCGTAAATTTAGATAAAGAAAACAATGACGTTGGTGCGTGGCCTTTAGCTGCTTTGAAATGAGGTTGACATTCTGCGGAGATATTTAGAAATGTACTAGAAAATTCGAGCAAAAATGTACTAAATTTTAGATTTACTGTCAGTTGTCAAAACTGTCATGTATGTTGTCAGTTGTCATGTCAAATGTCAACTGCAGGATGGATGTTTGTTTTGTTTTTAATGAAGGTTATTAAAATAGTAAAAAGTTAAATTTAAAACAAAATTTCGGTTCACGGATCAATTATAAAATACTGGCAAATTACTGGCACAAAGTCGTTGCTGGCAAAATTACTGGCAAGCTTCATTTTTACTGGCAAATGCCAGTAATTACTGGCAGATTGGCAACGCTGTGTGTAATTCAAAATTCAATTGTGTATCATTTTTGTTTTCGCCGATTTGTTCTTTGTTCCTGTGTTCGTTCCCATTTTGGATTTGTTTTGTGATTGAATTTGTGAGGTATGTAAATTTAAGTTATTATGGATAAGCAACGCAATAACGCTTTATATTGTAAAAAATACCGATCAAAAAGGAAGGATATTGATAAGTTACGACGTAAAATCAGTATTACCCCACATGAAATTAGGAATGAAGATAGTTTGCTAACTATTGCTGGGCCTAATACAAATAACGAATTTCAAGAACTTAAATCACTGGCTGGTTCAAGTACTAATCAGTTTTGTTATGTTAGAAACCAACCGGGTTGTTAAATACCACTTTATTTTATTTAACGTTTGGCAACAACGCCTATATTTTGTTTGACTTTTTTATGTTTTTTAAGGTTAGAAAAGAAATGTGTATCAATTATTATTATGTCTGTCGTTCAGGCGACGTAAACTGCAAATAAACGTTTTTTAAATAAAAAACACCTTTATTAAAAAACCAGTGAAAATCAGAGTATACAGACACTGCATCATGGTCCTTCGAGCCGGATTATTAACTCAATCGGACAATAAAAAACTAATAAAGAAGTCCACAGGGATTGAACATTTTTATAACCTATAAAAACACGTGGAAGTTTAAGAAGAGATCGGACATCGGACGGGAAATATATAGCTGCAAATAAAGAAAAGTCCACTGGGTCCTTCAAAAACCGTAAGTTTGTTCCATTTATTATAAACAAAATCCTTAATTATCCCTATCATCTTGACCTTCAATTAAAAAGGTAAAAATATGAGTGAATTAACAACTTTAAATATAAAAAGGGGGGTCATAAAAGGGAAATTAACGAGGCTTAAATCTTATGTTGGAGGCTTAGATTTAAATAATTTGATAGAAAGAAATATAAGCGAATTATCTTTAAAATTAGAAAAGTTTGAGCCTGTTTGGGAAGAATTCAATGAAATTCAAACTAGAATGGAAATTATTAACAATAATTCAGATCAAAGCGATCCAGAACGTGAGGAATTTGAAGAAAATTATTTTAGTTTAGTGTCACAAATTAGAGGCATTTTAAATAAACATTTTGATTCCCAAAACTCAAGTTCTGAGAATCAAAGAAGTTCTATAAATAGCAATTATCAAAGGTCAGAGGCGGGTAGCGAGACTGGTTCAAGAATCGTTAATCCTTTTACACATGTAACTTTACCACCTATAAAAATACCCGTTTTTGATGGAGCATATGAAAATTGGGTAGGTTTTAAAGAGCTTTTTCTCGCTCTAGTAGATAATAATCAGGACATTACTGATGTACAAAAGTTTTATTATCTAAAGCAATCTTTGGAGAAAAATGTCAGACAAATTATTGAAAAAATAGAATTAAAGCCTGAAAATTATAAAACTGCATTAAAAATAATCACAGATAGGTATGAAAATAAAAAGTTAACCGTTTATAATCACATACGAGGTATTTTTGAAAGTGTTCAAGTTACTAAAGAATCACACACTGATTTGAGAAAATTACTTGATAATGTAATTACACATATGCGTTCTTTGGCCAATTTGGGGTTAGATACTAGTTCCTGGGATCCTTTAATATTATTTATCATTGCAAATAAATTTGATAAAGCAACTAGAAAAGAATGGGAAAAATATAAAATTGAGGGTGAATTAGCTACTATGCAAGATGTTGAGTCTTTTATGGATGAAAGATGTAGGACTTTAGAAAGAATGGAAGATAGTAATAAGTCAGATAAAAAGGTTAATTTCACAAATAATTATAAAAAAGCAAGTTCTAGTTTTGCTGTAACTGATAATGATAACAAATTTCAATGTCTTATGTGCAATCAAGAAGGTCACTTAATTAGTTCATGTACATCATTTTTAAAATTTGAGATAGATAAAAGAATAGAATGTGTAAAAAAGTTAAAAATTTGCTTTAATTGTTTAAAACCCAATCATCCGTCATGGAAATGTAGACAACAGAGGTGTATAAAATGTAAAAGGGCGCATCATTCATTATTACATATGAATTTTGAAAAACAACAAATATTTACTGATGACGCCGCTGGCACTGGTCCGCAACAATCGGCGTCTAACGCCTTAACTGTTGCGAATGTAAAAGGTACGACAATCGCCGAAGAGACATCATGTGTGTCCGTGGAAAAAGGGAGCATAGAATGCAGCGACGTTGCCACGTTTAGTTCGTTTTCACAGGTCTTACTGTCAACAGTTAAATTAAAAGTACGTTTTGGTGAAAAAGAGGAGTTTTGTCGTGCTTTGTTGGATAGTGGTAGTCAGAGTAATTTTATTTCTCGAAAGTTATGTAAACGGCTTGCATTAGATCCTATAAGTGTAAATCATATGGTAAAGGGAGTTGGAGGAACCCTAACAAATATTAATAAACAAGCTGAAATTGCAATTTTATCGTGTCATTCTAAGTTTAAAATGAATATTAAATGCTTAGTACTTCCAAGTGTTGTTGGAAAATTACCTTCTATGACATTTGAAAAAAATAATTTAAATATACCTAGTGAACTTAATTTAGCGGACCCTAATTTTAATATTGCTGAAGAAATAGATTTATTACTTGGTTCAAATATTTTTTGGAATATACTATGTTCAGGGCAAATAAAATTGGGAGAAAATTTACCTGTTTTGCAAAATAGTGTATTAGGGTGGATAATATCAGGTAATTTAAGTTTAAATACTTCAAACTGTAGTATGTCTTTAAATTGTTTGAATGTCAATGAAACTAAGGCACTTGATGATAAAATTTTTGAGTTTTGGAATATTGAAGAAGTTAACAATAATAAACAAAATTTTTCACTATCAGAAAGTTACTGTGAACAATATTTTGAGAAAACAATGACACGTGATAGTAATGGTAGGTTCATTGTAAAAATTCCTTTTAAAAATAATGTTCGTGACTTGGGAGAATCTAGAGAACAGGCTTTAAAAAGATTTTTTAGTCTTGAGAGAAAGTTAAATAACGATAAGGAGTTAAAAAATGCTTATAAGGATTTTTTAAATGAATATGAAAGATTGGGACACATGAGCAAAATTCAAGAAAATGGAAATATAAATACCGATTGTTTTTACATGCCACATCATGCTGTTATAAGGACAGATAGTAGAACTACAAGGTGCAGAGTAGTATTTGATGGGTCTGCAAAAACAAAGTCGGGTCTATCTTTGAATGATGTGCAATTTAGTGGTCCAACCTTACAACAAGATGTCTTCTCAATTTTAACTAGATTTAGAAAGCACAAATATGTCATGACAGCTGACATTTCTAAAATGTATAGGCAAATATTAATTAGCGAAGATGAGTTAAAATATCAAAGAATTTTTTGGAGATCAGAACCTACTAGTGACTTACAATGTTATGAATTAAAAACAGTAACATACGGAACAGCGTCTGCTCCGTATTTGGCTGTAAAATGTTTGATGCAATTAGCTAATGAAAATAAAGATAAATTTCCACTTACTTGTGAAATAATTAAATCTGATTTCTATATGGACGACTTGCTAACTGGTGCCAATACATATTCAGAAATGTTACAATTTCAGAAGGAAATTTCATTGATTTTAAATAGTGCTGGCTTTCCTTTAAGAAAGTGGTTGTCTAATAGCAAGTATCTTTTAAATAAATTTGAAGTAGATGAAAATTTAGAGGTAAACATATTAAATATAGGTGAAACTCAACATAATAAAACATTAGGCATTTTTTGGGATCCAAATGCAGATACTATTTGCTATCAGTTGAGTAAAATTAGCGTACCAAATAAAATGACAAAACGTAGTGTACTATCAATAATATGTCAAATATTTGACCCACTTGGAATTTTGGGACCAATTATAGTTATTGCCAAATTGATAATGCAAGACTTATGGAGTTCAGGTGTAACTTGGGATAGTGAGTTACCAAATGAGTTGGCTTCTAAATGGTCAAAATTTTTATCTGAAATATATTTAATAAAAGAGTTTAAAATTCCACGTTTAGTTGTAAATTCTGAATATGTAAAGATTGAGTTGCATGGATTTTGCGATAGTTCGATAAAAGCTTATGGGGCATGTTTATATATAAGATGCATAAATTCAACAGGATTAATTGTTGTTAATTTATTATGTGCAAAATCCAGAGTAGCTCCGAAGAAAATGATTAGTTTGCCTAGGTTAGAGTTATGTGGAGCAGTTTTGCTATCAAATTTAACAAATAAGGTAATAAACTGTTTACAAATAAACTTTCATGAAATATTTTATTGGACTGACTCCGCCATAACGCTAGCCTGGATTAGAGGAGATAGCAGCAGGTGGAAGGTATTTGTAGGTAATAGAGTAAGTCAAATACAATCCCTAACCAATATAAATCACTGGCATCACGTCAAATCACTTCATAATCCAGCTGACCTGTTATCACGAGGTGCAACTCCCGAATTACTTTTAAAAAATGACCTATGGTTTCACGGACCTCCTTGGTTTTATTCTGATAACTTTTCATGGGATCTTATGGAGAAACCAGTTAAAACCGAAATTCCTGAACAAAGATCTTTTTCTGTAAATAGCTCTTGTATAAATACTGATAATTTTTTGACAAAATTTATAACAAATCATTCTTGTTTTGAAAAAATGATACGAATTCTTTGTTACGTTTTAAGATTTATAAATAACATAAAATTAAAAAGTAAAATAGTTTGTAATTCAGGAATTACAAATAATCTCTCACCCCATGAACTACAACGTGCCACGAATATTTTGATTAAACATGCACAGATGGAAAGTTATCCACAAGAATATAATCAGTTGTCAAAAGGGCAACAAATCAGTAAGAAAAGTAAACTGTTATCTTTAAATCCAATCATTAAAGATGATATAATAAGAGTAGGGGGTAGGCTAGAAAATTCTAATCTTTCTTATGAAAACAAACATCCGATTATCTTACCTCATTCTCATCTATTGACAAATGTCATACTTAGAAATATTCATAAAAAATTATTGCATTGCGGTGTTCAACTGTTACTTAACACTGCTAGGGAAACTTATTGGCCTATAAGTGGACGAAATATTTGTAAAAAAGTGGTAAGAAATTGCGTTATTTGTTTTAAAGCCAAGCCTACCAATAAAGAATATTTAATGGGTAATCTTCCGACGGTTAGAGTAACTGAAAGTTTTCCATTTTTAAATGTGGGTACTGACTTTGGTGGTCCCTTTTTAATAAAGGATCGCAGGACTAGGGGTGCTAAATTGGTCAAGGTGTATATATGTTTGTTTGTATGTATGGCTACAAAGGCGGTGCATATCGAACTCGTCTCGGACTTAACCTCTGAAGCATTCCTCGCCACTCTGAATCGATTTATTTTTAGAAGGGGGAAGCCTGCTAATATATACTCGGACAATGGTTCAAACTATGTCGGGGCGAATAATGAATTAAAAGAAATATATGAATTTTTAGGGCATAAGTCTACTGAAATTGGTAATAAACTAGCGTTAGAAAGAATTTGTTGGCATTTTATTCCTGCTAAAAGTCCAACTTTTGGTGGGTTGTGGGAGTCAGGGATAAAAAGTACAAAGTATCATCTGAAACGTATAATGAATAATACTTTATTTACATATGAAGAATTTAATACAGTGCTCATACAAATTGAAGGAATCCTCAATTCCCGTCCCTTATGTCCCTTATCTCCTGACCCAGCGGACTTAACAGCACTGACACCAGCCCATTTCCTCATTGGAAGAAACTTGATGGCAGTACCAGAAAGTAATGTTACCAATATTCCGGAAAATCGTCTAAAAAAGTGGCAACATATTAGTTTTATTATTCAGCATTACTGGCAGCGTTGGCAAAAGGAATACTTGAATGAACTCCAAATCCGAACAAAGTGGAAGCAGACTTTCCAAACTAGACTTAAGGTGGGTTCATTAGTGCTAGTGAAAGAAGATGGTGGTATAACCTTGGACTGGAAATTGGGACGCGTGTTTAAACTTTTTCCAGGTCTGGACGGTATCTGCCGAGTAGTGGATGTAAAGCTTCGTCAGAGTGTTCTTAGACGATCAATTAACAATATTTGTGTTCTTCCTATTGACTAACGAATTTATTTATTTTTTTTTTGGTTCTGTAAAGAACATTTTGTTAATTTTAATTGTTTGTTTTTTGAAAGTGTAAACCCTTTCAAAGGGGGGAATATGTTAAATACCACTTTATTTTATTTAACGTTTGGCAACAACGCCTATATTTTGTTTGACTTTTTTATGTTTTTTAAGGTTAGAAAAGAAATGTGTATCAATTATTATTATGTCTGTCGTTCAGGCGACGTAAACTGCAAATAAACGTTTTTTAAATAAAAAACACCTTTATTAAAAAACCAGTGAAAATCAGAGTATACAGACACTGCATCACGGGTCAATCTCAATCACTTGAAATAACTACTTCGAAATCAATAGATTCTAATACTAATAATGAATTGAACAAAAGCGAAATATTAAAGAATTTTTTAAAATCTTGGAGTACTACAAGTAATATAAACTTAGTGCAGTTAACTCGTCTGCTGAAAGGACTCAAGAATATTTTTCCAGAACTTACTTTACCTATGGATGGCAGAACACTATTAGGAAGTAACAAAAGAAGTTTTAGTACTGTTTTTGAAAATGACACCCAGTTTGTGTATTTAGGTATCAAACGTACTTTAGATGCTTATTTAAAAATACCTAATTTAAAGAAACAATTTTTAAAAGATTCAGTAATTAAATTAATTTTTAATATAGATGGTCTTCCATTATTTAAAAGCAGCTGTACACAAATGTGGCCTATACTTTGTAGAGTTTACAATTCTAGTTATAAGCTATCTCCTTTTCCAGTTGCTCTGTATTGTGGCACTACTAAACCAAAGAATATAAATAATTACTTGAAAGATTTTATATCAGAAATAAATGAACTGGTTTTAAATGGTATATATATAGACAACACTAATGTACAAATTAACTTGTTTTGCATTACTTGCGATGCACCAGCCCGTTCATATCTAAAATGTATTGTGGGGCATAATGGAACGTATGGTTGTGAAAGGTGTCATCAGAAGGGTACTTATTTTAACCGCAGAATAATATATTTGTCTACTAACTCTAGAGAACGTACACATGAAGATTTTGTAGCTAAGGAATGCCCCAAGCATCACTTATCTAAAACCCCTATGTTAAAATTGGAAGGAATTGACATAATTAAAATTTTTTCTCTTGATTACATGCATTTGTGTTGCATAGGAGTTATGAGAAAAATTTTGTTTTATTGGTTTGTTAAATGTGATTCAAGAAAAACAGTTAGGTTGCCAGTTAATTTAAGAGAAAAAATATCCAATAGATTAAGATATTGTTCATTTTATGTCCCCTCCGAGTTTAGTCGAAAGCCAAAAACCTTTAATGATTTAAATCGATTTAAAGCAACAGAATTCAGACTAATTTTGCTTTATTTGGGCCCAGTTATTTTTCATAACGTACTTCACAAGGATCTGTATGACCATTTTTTGTTATTCCATGTGGCTTTAAGAATATTATTATGTCCACGTTTTGTTGGTAGCTCGTGGATAATAACAGCAAGAGAACTTTTAACTAGCTTTGTAGACAATTTTTCTCGTATTTATGGGAGAGAGTCTTGCATTTATAATGTACATAATTTACTGCATTTGGCAGATGATGCAATAAACTTTAATTGTTCTTTAAATGATATTAGTTGCTTTCCTTTTGAAAGTTTTTTGGGGAAACTGAAAAGAATGTTAAGAAAACCCGATCAACCTTTAGCTCAAGTTTGTAAACGATTGTCGGAAAATGAAAATAATGATGTTACTTATGATGACATAAATCACAATTTTTTTGTAAATGAAACTTTTCAATATATTCAAACATCTTATTTTAAAATAAAATATAGTATCTTTAATAAGAACGATTGTTATGTATTTTTAAAAGATGGAAGTTTGTTAAAAGTGATTGATTACCAAATTGTAAAAGATATTTTAGTTGGTTATATTTCTAGTCCGCTTAAAAATTTCTATACTTATCCTATTAAGTCTAAGGAAGTTGGAGTATTTCAGTTCAAAAATTTTAATAAAGAACACAAATGTTACATTAAACTAACAGATGTATCAAGAAAAGCTATGGTTGTTGATTGTAAAACATATTATGTAGCTTTGGAAATACTTCATCTTAATTTGTAAAAATTAATTTAAAAATTCTTATTTTTTAATGGACCACTTTAGTCTGACGTCAAATGTCACAGAGTCCAAACAAAATATTGTAACCATGGTAACCGTCGGAGACATACTGTTAAATAGAGTATGTTACGATTTTATTTTCCAAATCCAAACTTCGTATGACTTTTGTATTTTTTAAGTTTAAATTGGATTTTAGAGCATTGTAAGTACTTTTTGTAGACAATATTTTGTTTGGAATCTGTAAATCGACTCAGTGACGTCACCACTAACGCGGTCCATTCTAATATAGATGAGCCTCTTCCCGTCTCAGGTGGCCCATGAAAATCTTACATTTTTTTGGCCATCAAAATAATTCGAAGGGGCTTGTGCCTAGCCAGTGGTTTAATGATTCAAACTGCTTTCTCTTTATACGTAACGGTTACTATGCACTATGCTCAGTTCAAAGTTTTAATGTTTTTCTTAAAGCAATATTTAAAAATTAAGATTCTACGCATTTGACCAAGTATGCATATAATTGATCAATTTTTTTAAAGCATCTGGCTATGGTAATGTTTATTGTACTATTTTAATACAAACAAATTTTATTTTTCTTACATGCATGAGGCATATATGCAGGGTATGTTTTTATTTATTGTATCTTTTATTTACTTATTATTTGATTTACTTATTATTTTGTAAAGTTAAAATGGAACGTTCTTGGGACATTGTCGTATGGACAGAAGAAAATGCAATTGATTATGTTCCTACTTCTTGGGCAAATAACACAAAAACGATGTACAAATATCCTTTGGGTAAAAATAGCCTTAAAATTAAAAAACTTCTTGATAGTGGTAAACCTTTGAATGATGAAAATTTTCATTGGCTGGAAGCTGTATGTAAAGCAGAATCAGTTAAAGATTTGCAAATGGCAAAAGATATGTGTGATCGAGGACAAGATACTTCGAACTTTGAACTTACTGAATCAGAAAATGGTCGTAAACATAGAAAACCAAAACGAAATTCAAGAATCCTTAAATGTTTGTCAGATTCAAATTCCTCAGAAGATTCTCTACCTTTACCTAGAGGACAGAACTTAATCAGAAAAACATTTTCATCTCAGCCTGTAATCTGTAATAGTAAGTTAAACATTTATGTACCTGTGTTCTTCTTATTATTTTTTTTATTTTAGAACAAACATTCAATGCAAATAATATACCTACCAATAATTCAAGTCAACAGATGAGTTCTTCAGGTAAGTCAACGAAATTATTTTCTTTCCTTTTGCAAAACATTTGAAGCCATATTTAGACTTGTATTTTAGATATTAATAATTGTTTCTTTTTAAGTTTCAAGAAATTCCTGCACGGCAGTTTCAAGGAATTGTCAGCCTATTTCAAGAACTTCTACTCCTATTTCTATAAATTTTGAGCCTGATGATGTTTCAAGTCACACTCAAACATTGACAATCAACGATGTAAATTTGATGCCTACTTCATCTAAGGTGCAGCAGATTTCTACAGGTACATAACTGAAATAGACTAGCTAAGAATAATTATATAACATTTAGGAACCAATATCATCAAATTTATAAACTGCTAATTTCATTCTTTTCCAGATTTAACCCCAATACTGGAGGAACTGACAGAAATAAAATACCATATGAGGGAAACCAAAGCTGTTCTATCTAGAATGGAACATTTCTTAAATAGTTCATCGAATAATCCTACAAATGTTACCATACCACAAACTTTAAATGCCATTTTGGATTTACTTCCTTGCGAGACCAAGGAACAGTTGGAGAAAGTAGATTCATTAATCCATGAATCTCGTTATATGAAAGAATTGGTAAGTTTATTTATTATGGTTCTACAACTAAAAAGCAACTTTGACATAAAATTATGTTGAAAAAATATCCTTCACACCAATGGGAGACCACTGCAATATGTAGTGTACTTTTATAATATATATTTTTTTCTCATGGCAATATTAATTTTCAGGTAAACTATCTTTATTTAGCCGGAGGAGACAATCCTCATAAAAGTGCTTACTTGGCAATGCAGAAGCTTTTTGCTAGGCAACTGGCTGTATACTACAGTGGTCAAGGAAAAAAAAAGAAAATTCCTTTTTGCAATATGAAATTGTATGAAGCTGTTTTTGGTTAGTATAGTTTTTTTTATTAAATAAATATATTTTTTACATAATCAGAATAATATAACGTAATTTTTTGTTGTAGACTTTTTATTTTTCAATTTTATTTAATTTTTATGGAAGATGATTCACATGTCTACATTTTTCCGTTTAAATTTCAGGTGCAATTAGAAGGAGGCATCCCAACGTTACTGATGAAGGAATAAAAAAATCAGTCTCTCTATTCTTGGCCACTGCCAAGTCGAGATTAACATCAAAGAAAAATAATGGAGTAGTAGTAGAGTAAGTGTTTATATATATTTAGATTTTATAAACTTAAAAAAAATACATGGTTTATATAAATATTGTGATTTTTATTTGTTGTTTTATTTTTAGTGAAATGGATTTGCCAGATGAAACAGATCAGTTTTAGAGGTTGATTTTTAATATATATATATATATATATATATATATATATATATATGTTTCTTTTAAAAATAAACAATTTATTGTTTTTTTATGAATTTCTATAAACCTCCCATTCTGAAAATGTCTTTAAAACATTGGTGAAAAACGGTCGGACTCGTCAATTTCTATTTTATTTGTATTTTTTTATAATATCAGAAATGTGTTTACCCGTGCACCCCCTTCACTTGACAGATAGCTCATCGAATTTTTAAATATATAGCAAAGTCTGATAGGACCGACCTTGTTATTTAAAAAAAATTGAGGGGTATGGCTGTCAACTGGTGGAGTTTGAAAGGGGAGGCAAATTTTTATGTTATAAAACGACTCCATCAAAATAAACATTGATGGGTCCAAGCGTTTCTAACCTTTATTCCCAAATAAAGGGAATTTTTAAAATACATAACAAAATATTTCATATATATTTTTTTACAAATATTTATTCAATATTTTTTACTAATATTTTATAAATATAATATAGAATATATTTAGAGAATATTTAAGAATCTGTCGCTACAAATGTTTAAAAAACATTTTTTAAAAATATTTAAACAATATTTAATGCTATCTGGGTGGTGCTATACCATTATAGCCTGTATATTACATACTTCTCAGACAGAAGCAAATTATACTCTAGCTTTCAACTTACTTAAAGAAACGTTAGGCAATGAATGTTTTGGTCATGCTGGTTAGTATATTTATGACTGACGACAGTTTAGCTGAGAGAAACGCGCTGGCATCTGTGTTTTCTGTATCATAACAGTTAAAGCCAAAACTTCTTCTTTGTATTTTTCACGTTTCCAAAGCCTTCTTGCGTTGGTTATGGGATAGCCAAAATCAAATCCCTAAAGAAATTAGAAGAGCGGTGATGATTTCTTTTCGTTCTATAATGTTTACTACCACTTTCGAAGAGGCCGAAGAGTTATTTGATGACCTTAAAAATAATAAAAAAATTATGGAATTTCCACGTCTAGAAAAACATATAGACGACCTCTGGCAGCGGAGAGATGAATGGTGTTTGTTTTACCGAACCTCACTAATCAGGGGAAATAATACCAACAATTATGTCGAGGCGTCTATCCGAATATTTAAGGACGTTATTTTGCAAAGATGCAAGGCATTCAACTTATGTGCTTTAGTAGATTTTATATCCAACGTCTTCGGATCTTATCACCGAAGACACTTGTTGTTATTTGCTAGTAGTCGATCGTCCAAAAATGAAACACTTTATCTTAAATTTTCTGAAAAAGCCAAAAAAATCTCTTGTGAAAAAATTTCCGAAAGTACTTACTGCGTAACAAATAGTGATGAAATGTTTTTATATACTGTAGATGCGGCTTTAGGAATATGCGACTGTCCTTTTGGTATAGGCGGTAAATTTTGCAAACATCTTTGTGCCGTGCAACAAAATTTTGGAGTACTTCTTCCGAACGCACCTTTACTTACTCCATTCGATAATAAAATGTTAGCACAGTTAGCTCTCGGTTATGACGCCTCAGAATATTTTTTTGAAAATATGGACTTAGACGATTCTGAAAGCCGGTTAGACAACACACCTATTAATAAAAGTCCACAACGAAATATTCAAAAGGGAGTTGATACCAAGGTTGATTCTATTTTGGAAACAAAGAAAAAGGAATCAGAAGTTAACAGAAAACACACTTCTGCAGTAGAAAGTCTAAAAGAAAACTTTCAGAAACTAATAGAAATTGCACCAGAAAATAACACAGCAGATTTTACGAATAGCATCATTAAAGCTAATGTTGAATTAAAAAAAAATTACAACATCAACGCAACTCGCAAGTTTTCTTTGCAATTTAAGGAAAGGACGCTCTTCAAAACAAATAGGGGTTCAACCTACAGCTATTAGCAGAAGAAGGAATCGAAATGGCCTCACATCTGGAAGGAAACGGATTCAATCAGGTAGACCATCCAATTTGGAATTGAAGACAACAGCCAAACGGAAGCATAACTTGGTAGAAAATATTTTTAGAAATCAACCCAATGCAAAAACCTATTAATGATTTTTTTTAATAAAGACAGTTGTTTAATCACAATTTTTTTATGAAATTTATGATATTTTTCTTAATCTTGCAGTGAATTGAATTTAGTTGTAATTGATACATGTTAGCTAATTCAAGATAAAACATCAGCAATATAAATTATGCAACAAATACTTTGCGGTAACTTCTGATACAGATTGTTCTAACAGCAACGCCAATTATTTAAATCCATTATATACTGTGTTTCAGATCGTTATAATAAAGTCGTGCTCTGAATCACGGTACAGATTATCTTTTGAAATTACGCCTAACGTAAAGCCATAGTATACTGTGACTCAGACTACAACTGCTCTGAATAATAGTACATTATGCCTTTACGCGGCCTGGAAAGGGTGATGTCAATTCTTTTTTTGCGAATTTTGAGAATTTGCTTACATCTATTTCGGTAACAATAAAAAACATTGTAATTGTTGGAGATTTTAACATTCATTTCATAGGGCGTTCTGATACATTGAATGAATTACATTTGGGGCATTTGATTTGAAGCTCTGAAGACTCCGAACGTAAGATTCGTGTTTGTTTTGAAGCTCAGAGCAAACTCGATTTATGTTTGTTTTGTGTGCGATAGAGCAAGTCGAGTGTGCTCGATGATCTCAGAATCAAAGGATCGAGAAATTATTCCTATCTCTCTTTAATTCTAACATTCTATTTTTCTCTGTAAAATACACACATTCACCCCATAGAAAAAGACATCCCCCACCAGCCACGTTTTGTGAAAAACCAAAAAATATAGTTAATATATTAAGAATAATTAGGGAATCAGAGGCAAAGTTGGGAATATGCGGAATATGTAATATTACAGGGCCACTGGATTTTATGGGGAAACACTTTCTAGTAGAGCATGGTAAGGTACTTATTTACCTAAAAATATCATAATAATTCTTACACGTCTCAACATTTTCAAATTATCAATTAGTTACTCATCATATTTTAGTGGATCACATTGATAATGATAAAGAAAACGAGTTGGAATTAACAACAAGAGATGAGGAAGAAAAGATGTGGTCAAAAGAGGCAATACTACTTTTAATAAGACTGGTAGAAAGTAAATACGAAGACTTCAACAAGGTTGTAAAAAAATGTGTATGGATTAAGATTGCTACAGAATCATCACAAATTGTCAACAAAAAGATTACACATGAGCAATGCGATTCAAACTAGAAAGGTTTGAAGAAAACCTACAAAAAAATGAAAGAAGGGAACAATAAAACGGGAAATAACCCAATAAAGTGGATTATTTCTACACTATGGATAGCTTTATGAGTAGTAAACCGGAAGTTGTACCAGCAGCTGTGTGCAGCTCATCAGAGGGGTTGAAAGTTAATGCAGGTAATAGAAAACAGTAAAATCTTGAATAACATTTTAATTTGTTTGTTATGTCTAGGGTAACATGGTCAACAGTGAATCAGTGGTACACAGTGAACCATCCTTACCACAATGTCATTTATGGGTTAAACTTTTATTGCATTTCATCTATTTGTAGCTAACCACACTGCCTCTCTGTCTATTTAGTGAGCGACTTGTATCGGCGACGATTAGACGTGTTTTAAGGTTAAGTTTTGTTTTGGCTATACGTGGAAAAAAACTAGGTAAGTAATATTTTGTCAAGCATGTTCTTATTATTGATTTTTAACTATTACTTTCAATTCAGATATATAAAGTGGCTATTAGTTTATACAATAACGATTAAAATGATTACATAGTGATATCTTGTAAACAGTTATTGAATTTCAAAAGTAAATAGATCAGGTGGTACTCAGTGGATCAGAAGCTTGTGGTACACAGTTGATCATGATCCACTGTGTACCATGTGATTTATAACAAGGTTGTGCTAATATTATTTACAAATTCAATCTTGCTTTTATTTCAGAATGCCACGAAATAAGAAAGAAAAAAGAAAAATAGGTGATCACACCAAAGAAGCAATGCTAGCAGCAATGCTATTAAGGAAGGAAACAGTATACGACACGTTTCTTCAGAATCAAATATACCTTTTACTACCCTACGAAGGTATTATGCAAAGACCAAAGAAACTGACCTAGTAGGTGACGTAAAATTAACACCCAACTATGAAGTCAACCGAGTTTTCTCGGAAGTACAAGAAAATATTCTTAGATACTATTATAAAGATTGTGCTTTATTATTTTACAGGCTAACTTCCAAAGATTGTCGTCATGTAGCCTTTGAAATGGCAAGGTATAATAATATAAAAATGCCTTCCTCGTGGGAAACGAATCAAATAGCAGGTATTGACTGGCTTAGGGGTTTTCGGAAACGTCATCCTGAACTCTCACTTAGAAAACCAGAAGCATGTAGCCTTGCGAGAGCTACATCATTTAATAAAGAGACAGTGACGAAATTTTATGATAATCTCGAAAACGCAATTAAAAGAAATCCAGCATTTTCCGATGGATGCAGAATATTTAACCTCGATGAGACAGGCACAACCACCGTGCAGAAACCTCATAAAGTAATAGCCCTGAAGGGCCATAGAAACCTTTGCAAAGTTACCAGTGGCGAAAAAGGAGTTTTATGCACAACATGCTGCATCATAAGCGCTGGAGGGCAGGCACTTCCTCCAGTAATAATTTTCCCACGAAAGAAGGTAAACCCTAGAATGGGTATTGGTACTCCACCGGGAACTTTGATTTTAGCGGCACAGTCGCGTTGGATGAACAGCGATTTATTTGTAGATGTTATGAAACATTATATCAAGCACAGTAGTAGTTCATTGGAAAATTCCAGTATTTTAATAATGGACAATCATGAATCGCATCTATCCATTAAAATCGTTAGATTTGGCAAAGGCATCCGGTGTGATTGTACTCACATTACATCCTCATACTTCAGCGAAAATGCAGCCTCTAGATGTGTCAATTTTTGCACCATTTAAGAATTATTATCATTCTGCCATGGATTCTTGGATGATGCGTAATCCAGGACAACCGATTACTATTTATGATGTTGGACAACTAATTGGAATCGCATTTGAAAAATCCATGACACCATCCAATATACGTCAAGGATTTAACAAGACAGGATTAGTACCATTCGACAGACACAAATTTAAGGACGACGACTTTTTGCCTAGAACGGTAACAGATAGGCAAAATCCAGATATACTACAAGATACTGAAGAACATCAAACTGCTGAAGTACTACTGGAGAAAAAAATTAATTTAGCTCCTTCGACATCAGCAGGCCCATCAAAAGATTGTCAAATATTAACTCCTGATCAATTTAGACAGCCACTAAAAGCAAAGCCAAGAACTGGGAAAAGAAAACCAAGAAAGTTAGGACGAAGTTTAATAGCTACTGATACACCGGAAAAGGCAGCAATTGCAGTCGAAAAGGAGGCTGCTAAAAGAAAAAAAGAAATGAAAGGTAAAAAAGGTAGTGTTCGTAAAGTATTGCAAAACGATTCAGAAGACGAGGAAGAAGTTGTGCTGCATGATGAATCTGACGATGATGACATTGATTGTTTTGAAGAGGAAAAAGAAAATGATCAAATGACTTTAACTGAAAACTGCTTGCAAAATCCACTTTGTCGATCACCAACTGTGGGGGATTATATTATTGTGGAATTTAGCACAAAAAAACAAAAAATTTACTACGTAGCTAAGGTATTAGAAAGTAGAAATACTTCCATGGAAGTGTACGTTAGTTTTTTAAGGCAAAAAACTGACCAACTATTTCATATCCCAACGTCCCGGATTTAGCATGTGTTAATGACCATGACATAAAATTTATTTTACCGAAGCCTACAGTTACTGGAAGTACTGCAAGGCAACAATCTTGTTATAAATTTCCCATTAATATGTCAAATTTAAATCTGCGTTAGATTATTTTAGGTATATTTATTCTTGTAAATGAGAATTTAAGTTTTACGTTATATTTACCTATGAATAAATTTTATGTTACTTTTGTGTTTATTTTTTGTTGCTTATTCACTATTAACCAATGGCCGATTCAGTGTGTACTAACTATAGTACACAGTGGATCATTTTCATTTTTTTAAAAAAACTAAGACAGACATTTCAAAAAAATTTCTACGGTGTTCAATCTAATATAAATTGGACACTAGACACTTAAGGCAACCTGTGCTCGAATTTGCGACAATTCAGGCGTTTAACTTTGAAGATAAGAGCAAGTTAAAAAATACTGATTCACTGTTGACCATGTTACCCTAAATGTTTTTTAAAAATTTTTTAACTATTACTGCACTCTGAAACATATGTAGTGCTAAATAAATAAAAAATCATTGGACCAAAAATATCAGGAAGTTTTATTTGTTTTAACAAAAATTTTACTACAGTTAATAAACGTGTTTCGTATATGTTTATAAATGATCTATTTCATCTGGTTTTTTAACGTATATAAAGTGATAATTTTAACGCTAAATTAATATTGAGTATTAACGTATTCCATTTATGACTAATAGATGTGTTTGATAAACGTTGAATTTCTGTATATTATATACCAAATTTTAACGTTGATCAAAAACAGACATTTAATTTTTTAGTCTGTATTGTACATAATAGTATATTATGCGCCAAGGTAGAGAAGTCTTTAATGGACCTCAACAAAATAACTCACTTCTCTACCGTGGCTCATATACTATTTTTTTCACTACTAGCATTTTAATTAAAAAAAAATTAAGTTTTTAAAACTAATAAAAACGATTTCAAACTTTTTTTCAAATCAAATCATCCATGCTTGTGACAATTAAATAAAACACAAACGTCAGTTTAGTACCTATAGAATTTACAGTTTATACGTAGAATTAAATGAAATTTTTTTTTGCTGGTGGTCGAGTTAGTCACAAAATTAAAAAAAAATGAGTGATTCTAGCGGTTGTACTCCTCCTGAATTTTGAATTTATAATGTCGTCCGGATCTTGAACGGGTCACCAGTCACTCCCGTTCTACCGGTGCGGTGTGACAAGAACAACCTTGGCAACAAGTTACCCATTTATTTATCGATTTATTTTTATTTTGATTTGAAAACTCTTTTATATATTTATGAAAATGTGGAATGAAATCTGAAAGTGAATTGCTTTTATTTGAATAGTGGATATGACCATTAAATAAGTAAGTAAAATATTTTTACATTTTGTATTTGCATTTGAGCATTTCAGTTAACCTCAAAAACTGTCAAAATATGAACTGATATCATTTACATAAAATACAGTAGGTATATAGTTATCAGGTAGGCTCTGTAATTCTCTCCCTAGGTTAACAATGGACCACTTTTCTACCTGAAAATCAGTCAATAAAGTTAGCTTCTAAAGCTAGTAGTGAAAAAACGTATTTATACATTAAACGTTTATAATATGGATATTACTTTAATATTAATAAACCTATATTAGGCGGATATCACCTATATTAGAGGTTGACAATAGATCAAAAATACAGTGTGTCCGAAATTGGTGATGCATGTATTGCGATCTCCGAAACTGTTAGAGATAGAAAAAAGGTTAAATGGTGAAAGTTTTAGACAATTCTGTTTATAATTCAATGCCGTTTAATTTGAGATTTTTCTCTTTTGTTTTTTGAGATATTTTGAAAAAACTAAAATGACGCATTTCCTAAAATACCCTGTATTTTTGTAATAATTGGCATTATTATTTTTAAAATATAAAGAATTTAACAAAAATCCCAAAAATATCTAATAATTTTAATCTATTAAATTAACACAACATATTTATTAAAACCAAACAATTAAAAATAGTTCATTGTACTAGAAAATTAAAGGACAAATCGTGCGAATAATCATTAAAAATAAATAAGTCGAGTTTCTTTTAATATAATCACGTTAAGGTTGATATAAATAGAGAGTCAATCATTGACAAAAAAAAGACTCAAGGGGCGGCCGTTGGGCCAAACCTATGCCCAAAAATGTAACTTAGTAATTATTAGTATTTATTATATATAGTAAAGTGTGTGTGTAGTGTTTTAGTTTCAAAGGTAATATCTATTTTATTTTAACATGTTTAAATCTCTTGTTTGGGTTATGTATTTTAAAACAGTTCATTAGTCTTCCTCAAATGCCAATTCTTTCATTTTCGTCCCAAGTTTACTTATTAAATGTTTATCAGTTTAAGGGTTTTATCATATAAACAGTTTTTTTATATTAAAATGTTTTTGTGATGTAAAAGGTTTCATTATATCAAAGTTTCATCATAGATTATATTATATTAGCATGGTTTATCATAATAAAGATTTACAATTGTGGGTAGTAATTTTTGCTATGTCTTATTTCAAAAATAGAGATTGTTTTGATTTATTGAAATTGTTAATCATTTTTTTACTTATATTTAAATATACATGTTATTGTTCATTAACCTATTTTATTCTCACCTCTTTCCAAAAACCAGTAAGAAATATTCCGAGCATGTTAAGCCTCGGCGTTCCTACCCTTAAGGACTTGAGAGTCTTAAGTCAGTTGCCAAAACCGCTCGACATATGCTATTAAGGGATGTTTTTTTTGTATTTTTATTATTTTCTTTTATTATTTTATTTTGCCACTGGCGAATGGATGTTCCTTCAGGACTCCAGGACCCTAGGGCTGGTGACAAGCGCTGCCTTTATCCCTTAATAGTATAGTAACAGTAGCTAAAGACCTATCAGTAGTTACAAATGGTCTTTAGACATAACTGGTTGTTACATTTGGTGACGAGCGTTGGTCTTTAGACATAACTGGTTGTTACATTTTCTTTAGTTATAAAAATTTCTAAAAATCTGTAAAATCTTTCTTGGAGCAATTTTTTACGTAGAAAACGCCTGTGTCGTCAGATTTAATTTGCAATGTTTCGGTTTCATGGAACCATCATCAACTTTGTTTTTTCATATGGGCGCCACATTGGATTTTTACTGTTTTGAAAAGTCCCTTTTTTTCAGTGTTGCCAATCGGCGGAGAATTCTCCGTCTTTCAGAGAATTTCGAGGTATGCGGAGATTTGCTTTTTGCGGAGAATGTGCGGACATTTTTATCACTAGGTGTTAACATAAAAATTAAAAGCTATTCAGTATTTTAGCTAAAAATTTAAGGTGTTCGGGATTTAGCAATTCGGAACCGAACGGAACGGAATAGCACCAGTGCCAATTGCCCGTTCGATCTGTCATCTGTCCCCTAGGCCCTACCCTACTCTATTGTTTGCCAACTTCACACCGAACTTGACCGAACACGGCTTTATAGGTGACACTGGTGACAGGCGACAGTGACATTTTTCACTTTTTAGATGTTTGTTGTGTGTTGTGTTTTGTGTTCTTACTTATTTCACACGGTTAAACTTGAACTTGAAATTTAAAATTGAGAATGGATAAATGGTTAATGGGGCGTGGGCTACATGGAAGAGTAAGTGTTTTTTAATATAAACAATACCACAACTTTTATTCTTATTTTACCTACCTATTTATCTCTCTTAATTATTCATAAGTTAATGCTTTTCTCTTGGTGAGAGATTACTTCAGTAGTCTTATATTTGTAGACGGAGGATGCAAGTTCAAAAGACAAAGGCAATTTAACTAGGACCAAGGCTTCACCTTTTCCCGACCCTGCTGCTAGTACAAGTTATGTACACTGTGGGGAGGGTAATCTTTTGGTACATTTTTCATATTTTGTTATCTAGATAACTAAGAATTTTGGATTTAGGATTCTTCACTAGAAATCACAGAACTGTCAAACTCTCCGTCTAACCAAAATGAGAATCAATCAAAATCAAGAGCCTGTTCCGCCTGTTCACGGTTCTAATTTGGTAAGTTATACTAACACAAATTACAGTGTATAATTATATGAACATTGCATTCCACTGAAATGTGTCACTTTTTATCAGTATCAGAATGGTATCAGATCAGATCATCAGATCCTTTTGTTTGTGTGAACACACCATTTTATTTTATTCATGACCATATTGCATTGTTTTAAAAAGTTAGCTAATACTTAAAGTATCAAACACAATGTGATAGAGATTCTTTTTTAGGATACAAGTTCCAGCAGCAATGAACGTAAAGAAGAAAAAAAAAAGGAAAAAAAGATCTGCTAATTTAAAGACCAAGAAAGTAACGAGAATAACGAGATTCAGCGAAACCTAGTTACAAAATCAGGTATTTGCAAAGTGGCTTAGCAGGCGCAGGCCAATTTCAGATTCAGACAACAAAGACATGGCTTACTGCAAGGTGTGCAATATAGAAATCTGCCCACATAAATCAAATCTCACGTCACATGGTAAATCCATAAAACATTTAAGTAACATGAAAAAAGTTGAGGGAAGTAGAAAAATCACCCAGGTTCTACAATCATCATTTGATAAGAATGTAACCCAAGCTGAAATTAAACTCTGTTCCCTTCTAGCGGAATTAAATTTACCATTTCTTGCAATGGCCACTTTGATCCCTGTGTGTAGCGTAGTCTTCAGTGACTCAAAAATTGCAAAGAATTTGCTGTTTAAAAGGACTAAAGCAACCAAAATTGTAGAGAGTTTGGGCAAATCATTTAAAAAAAATTGTTTGTACAAAGTGTAGATGCCATATGATTCATTTAGCAACCTCAAAAGCTTGCCTTCAATTGCCGAGATGCACTGAAGATTTGATAAGAAATATTGGTGCACATTTCATTAGAAGTGCTGCACGGCAAAAAAAAATTTGAAGAATTTCAAAATTTCTTCAAAACAGAAAGTCATAAAATTTTACAAGCATCCAATACCAGATAGCTCTCAGTGAAACAATGCATTGACAGAGTGCTGGAGCAATTTGAACCCTTAAAAGGGTATTTTAGAGAATCGGTTTTTGAAGACTCTTCACATACTACTGAGCAAATACTGCTAGCCTTAAACAATAGTTACACATTAGTCTACTTGGAATTCTTGTCTTATGTTTTAGGGTTAACAAATGAATTTAATTTATTATTTCAAAGTGAAAAGACACTCCTGCATAGATTAAAGTTTGAAACTGAAAAGTTACTGAAACATTTATGCTCAAACTATATGCCTCTCAACTTTATGAAAGGAAAAAATATATTTAGCATTGACCATAGAAATCCGAGAAATTTTGTTCCATTAGATAAAATATATTTAGGTATCAATGCTTCACGAACTTTAAATTCATTAACCAATGCTGATAACAATGAAAAAGAAGTGGTATTAAAAGGCTGTTTAAACTTCTATATAGAGTTAGTTAACCAAATAAAAAAAAAAAAAGGTTTGACTTTTCTGATGTAATTTATGATATACTAGATAAGGTTTTAACACCCCAAGCATTCTCAATTAATACTCTAATTCCTGTAGTAGAAAGGTTTCCTGTCGTACAACATATTGTCAATTTACAAGCTCTTGATACTGAGTGGAAAGATCTAGGACTCTTAGATCATACTTTTAAAAATGTTGGTGACATTGAAGAATATTGGTATAAAGTATTTGATTTAAAAAATTCTGCAGGCAATAACTTGTTTCCCAATTTAACTGCCGTTATTGTTGCTTGTCCTACCATTTTCAAATGTATCTGTAGAACGTATATTTAGTGCTTTGAAAAATACAAAAACGGACCACAGAAATCGACTATTGACTTCTACAATTAATTCTATTATACTGACTAAAGAAGGCCTAAAAGACAAAGGAGGTTGTGTAAAGTTTGAACCCTCTTTGGACATGTACTCCAACATTTGGAAACAGTAAGTGGATGTCTTTGTTGTCAAATACAAACAAATATATTTCACAAATTCATTTAATAATGTTCACCTATAGGTTAACTGGTATGTGAAATATCACTGTTTAATTCAGAAGTTCCTTTTAGTTAGTTTAGCGAGTAATTTAGTTAAATTATTATTTCTTTCTGTTTAACTCAGAAGTTCCTTTTAGTTAGTTTAGCGAGTAGTTAAGTTAAATTATTATTTATTTCTGTTAGGTGTTTGATTGTAATGCCGATTTCATATACTCATCAAGAGGTAGAATGTTCGATTTATTTTTTTCTTTTTTGTAAATTTCAAATTTACTAATAAAATGTTTATTTGTGTTAATACTACGTCCTAACATCATTTAAATTCCATAGTCCCTTGAATCATTTTTGCTTTTACAGTTATGCTAATTCCTCGGCTAATGGGGCATGTTCAAAAATTTTGAAATTTTTTTATGAATAGTAGAGTTAAAAATAAAACTACATTTTTTTATCTATTCATTTGCCGGAGTTATGAATTTTTTTAAAATTTATGACGTCACCGGGAATAGACCAATAGGAGCTAGCGCACAACGTTGCCGGCTAGAAGGTTTACGAGAAGTGATGTACGTTCGTTTGTGTACTCCTTCTTACTTTTAGACTTCTAAAACATCGTTAAACAAATATCTTTTAAATATATAATATCAAATGTTTTTTGAAAGTATTGTTTCTGTTTAAACTTTTACTATATTTAAAGTTTTATTGTTTTAAAAGTCACTTAATAATTCAGAAAATGGCAAAACGGCAGCACTGTATGTCATCTGTCATAGTGTCTCGATCAATAATTTATTTGGAATTTGAGTGTTTATTTTGTACTTTTTATAAATAAATATTATGACTACGAAAAAGTGTTTTGTTCCAGAATGTGATAATGATTCACATTCATCTTCAAAAATATTTATTAGTGTTCCTAGAAATGTGGAAAGAAGAAAATCAACCTTCTACTAGCGATGTTTCTCGTAAACTTTTTAATAAAAATACACCGGATTATCAAGATGTAGCAGCAATTTCTGCTAATTGTCCCCTTCAGGAAATTGAAAATGAGGGTACTATAAATTCTTAGGTGTATAACCTAAAAAACCCTTCTGGAAGAAAATGCAGAATCTCCTGAAAGTTTTGAAGATACCGAATTTATTCATCATTTTGTGGAAGAACTAGTGATAAAGAAATAATAGAAAAATAAGGGTATTTAAACAAACTGGTTCCTGGATCCCATATAATGGCAGATAGGGGTTTCAGAATATTTAGCTACTTGAAAACATGGGATGCACTTTAGTAAAGCCACACCTAGTGTATCACAGAATGAAAAAAGTTCTCCAGAAGATGTACAATTAAGTAAAAGAATAGCATCTCTAAGAATACATGTGGAAAGAGTTATAAGAAGGGTTAGTTAATTTAACAAGTTAAAACCACATTCGTGTGTGAATTTTAAGCAAGTACATTTACTTAGTAATATCTGCATAATTGCTTGTTAACTTACAAGAACCTATTTTGTAAGAGTAAATATTAATTTAATAATTTTGTTTTGTTTGTTTTTTTAATTTAATTTACCTAATTATCACATTTCAGGGATTATAATGAGTTTTTAAACAGCCAATGTAATTTTTTAAAAAATTTTAACTTTTCGAACAAATCAAAGAGGAATGAGTACCTGTATATGCATAGATTTTTTTGGGACTAAAACTACCAAAACAAAGGCACCTATTTACAGCAGTTTAAAATGAAACATTTTGACAAAAACGCCTATGTCACAGTGATAAATATTAAAAACAACCAAGTTCAGTTGAATGTGGTAGCAAAGTCTATATATTCCAATAAATCGGGTAACTACATGTGGTATCACTGGTGATAAATTTAAAAATATCACAATTCTTGCTACCTTTTTCAAAAAACCAGAAAGTGTGCCTTCTTATCAATCCTTTATGAAAATGACAACAGTGATAAATGTAAAAAAAAAAAATTAATATTGCTATTCGTTATTACGATAGTAAAACATGTTTGCAGTTCCGTTTATTTTTTATGAAAATCTAAGTAAAAACAACCAATGTCAAAGGGTTATAATTTTTTTTCTGTTGAACCAAACATATCACAAAATTTAAAAATTGATCATAGGTCAAGCTAAAGTAATACCTTTATTGATAGTAGCTTTAAAAAAGGAGAAAGAATAATATTGACTTAAATTATTATTATTATTAACATTGGTGATTTTTAATAAAAACTCTTCAATTATTGTTTACAAACAAAAATATAAAAATCTGTGAAAATTTTATTTATTAATCTTTTAATAAAAAATGAGAAAAATGAAGTAAAAAACAATTTATTTACAAATAAAAAATATATATACAAATCCTAAGAATATAAAAGTACTGATTTATTTTCCTGTAGTGGATGAAGAGGTTTCTTTAACAATCTAGCCAAGTGTACATCAATATTTACGCATTTTGATAAATTAGAGCCTTTCCAATAACACTGAATAGATATTACAGATGGTTCCTCACTTCTTCTATGAAGCCACATATTTACAACCAACTGAAAAAAATAAAAGGGTTAGATATGCAGTTACAAAATAACTGTATAACCAGCTACAAAATGCCTTTATTTTATGTAACAAGACGAGCAGAGCTTTACTAGCTCTGAACGAATCCAGTAGAGAACCTCGGATTTTCAAAACTTAAAAAAAAAACAATCTCACCACATTTTCACATTTTTGAAATATTATAGAGCTTTTCGAAAAAAACTGCTATTTTTAAAAATACAATTTTTTGTTTAAACAGCTGTGTCTCATTTTAGGCTATTGAGTATTATAAAATAAAAAATTACGGGATGCTTTGTTAGCTTCAAGCGAATCCAGCAGAGCACCCCAGTTTTTTTTAAACCACACCACGTTTTTTGGCTCCTACAATATTATAAAATATTCGAAATTTGGCATTTTAAAAAAACAAATCGCAATTCCTTGCTGACTTCAAAGTTTTTTTCTGAAAACAAATGTACTTACCACATTTTTAGGATTTTAAAACAGCCTAAACATGTGTCATAAGTAGTTGTTTTTATATATAAAAAAAAAAAATTAAAAAACTGAAGTGTCCTGCTGACTTTGTTCCAACAAAGCACCCTGTATTATTTAAAAATAGCAATTTTTTTAGTAAAGTTTTAAAATATTTCAAGAGTCTAAAAATGGGGTGTGGTTTTTAGAAAAAAGCTTTAAAAAACCGAATTGCTCTGCTGGCTTCTTTCGAAGGTTAGCAAGCACCATGTATTTTTAAAAATATAATATTTCAAGTGCATAAATATATGGTGTTGCTGTTTTTACAGAAAAAACTTTATAAAATAGAGGTGCTTTGCTGACTTTGTTCGAAGCTATAGAGCATTTTAAGTTTTGCAAAAAACGAGGAGCATAAAATTTTTGAAAAGGGTATAAAAATAGCCTAAAAATATGGCATATTTTTTAACTCAAAATTTCATAGGTGCTCTGCAGCATCCTTTGGTATCATAATTATTACTAGGTTCACTAACAAAATCTGTTTCTAGATTATTTTAACACTTGCTGCGATTACAAAAAATGTCTGTATGTCAAAATTAGAAAAAACATATTTATAGGAATAAAGGGCCTTATACACTGTTTATTATATGTAATATAAAAACAAAAAAGCATAATAAATATTACAAACCTTGACATGCAGCATATCCTAAGCATATTGTGCACTAAAAATTTCATTTTTGTTAATTACAATGCAACCACATCAGAAGGTTTTTGCCGTACTTTATGTTTAGGTGTAATTTGTCTCCTTCTCTCTTATGGAAAAAGAAATTATCCCCATATTCTTGCTTGGCAGATCTAAAAATAAAACCTGAAATAAATATGTTTTACTTGCTCCATATAAACTGTAACTACCTACATTTAAAACAAAGTCTTACCTTTGTGACTTTTGTAAACTGAGTATTGTTAAAAAATGCAGTAATCATCTCGGTAATCATATTTTCGTTTACAATGGGTAAAACACTTGATTCAACTTTTATAAATCCATATTAATTCATATTAATAATAAAATTAAACCAAAACAAAAAACTAAGGTTAGATGTTACTGATGTTAGGAGGTGTCAATTTTAATGTCACTTAGATGTGCGTTCACTTCGACATTCTGTGTGTTGGTTTGTTCGTTGGCTTGGTTTTGTATAACAAAAAAAAACTTGGACACAAGATGATTGGTCTATTCCCGATGACGTATAATTTCAAATTTTAAATTTCAATTGGGCTTAATTTAAAAACTTTTGGCTTTTTTAACGAACTGACTATTTAGAATAACTTGTATAGCGACTAACTATTACAATATAATTTATAAAACAGCATATCTCACATGTGAACATGGCCCATTCATGAGTGAATTTTAGTGAATCGACGGACAGGTCTAAAAAATGAAATACAAATAAATGCCTTTTGTTTTTTTGTAATATACTTTTTAGTTGTTAAAAATTCAACCCACGTCAATCGTTCATATACTAGTTAGCGGCGTTAGTGAGCGCCTGACAGCTCAGCTTATAAAGAAAAAGAAGAGTAACGGCAGGGCGCTCGTCCGAATCTCAAACGGTGCCAACTATTCCCAATAATATTCCCAATAAACTGCAATTAATACCAAAATATCCTCATAATAGTTTATGCTTACAATGTAACAAAAAATAACTCCAAAAAAACCATAACTTTTGAAATATATGTTAACGAAGTCGAATTATTATTATTCAGAACATCCAATGACTCAAAAATCATTTAATTATTTGCAATAACCAAAAACTCAGTAAATAATTTGATGTACT